GGAAACCACCCAACTCACCAATGACACATGCACGCATTAAGAGCCTGTGCTTAGTATTACAAGAAAACTATGCAGATGAAGAAAAGGAGAGAGCCTGCCTTTGCCACCACTTGGAGCTACAGAAGGACAAATTCAGGACGATGTTACACATGTATGGTATATCTATAAAACCTACAGCAACAAAACATGCCAGGGGATGGACAGCATCAATGACCAAAACACTTTGGGTCCAGAACTAAGTTAATCAAGTGGGATGGGGAGAGGAGAAAAGGGATGGAAGAGGGGGCTAGCAGTGATGGCAAGACAGATGGAGGGTATGGGGTGGGCACATTCACATAGAGAAGCGATTTTTCTCAATTGTAAAATCAACCACTTCCTGAATTCTGTCATTTTGGGAGCTCTTCAGTTGAACCTTGCACTTTCTGCACAGAGCCTCTGCAAAGGATCTGGCGTGTCACCTGGAAAACTTGAGTTTGTCTCACTACTTGTATGTGTTCATCACATGGGTTCATGCTTCCAGAAGAGTTGGGGCACTAGAGGTTGGGGTTGACTTGAAACTCCTGTAGTGGCAGCATCTTACATGAGCAACTCACAGATCAGCCTTGGTAGCGGGCACGGAGTGGGGGTGGGGAAGAGGTAGAGATTGACTTTTAAAAATCATCTTTACCTATTTATTTCCCCAACTTTGAAAAGTTATTTCCATGATCCCAATAGAAGTTAGTAAAATTGCATTAGTGAGGGTGAAAGAAGCAAGGGCCAGTCACCAGAGCCCTGTGCCCATTTGTTGGATAAAATTGGATTGTCCTTGTTCCTCCCAAAGGGAGCTTAGGTTCATTGAGTTACTCCCCCAACAGTGCTCCTGAGGCACACCCAATTCCATCAAGCACTAATAATCCTATATTGCTTTTCTCTTTCCTTTATGACACTTGCATGGCTTAGCAATGTCCTTTTTGTGTAGACACAGGAAGACAGTTGATGTTATGTTTTTGTAATATGGCAGTTAATTGACTCCAAGTAATATTTACTTCTGGGCATCCACTGTATTTACTTAAGTCTCAGTTGACATTACTTCCTAACACACCGAAAAGCACGGTCCCGAGGAAGGGACTAGATTGGACCCAGGGCAAGCTGTAAGCTACCCTGGCATCAGAAAGGGACTAGCTAAGCACCATAAGAAGTATAATAAGAGCATGGTCATGGAAGAAACTGTCATGACCCAAAAAAGAAGTAATTGAATAAGGATCCTGCTGGGGTTAGGAAAGACTAACCTGGGCTGAGGACTGTGGTCTAGGATATATAGTGAGATGTCCCCAGGAAGATCCAACCTTTAAGCTTAATACATCTCTTACTGTGTTGATACAAAATGATTAGAAATAGAAGTAAATTCTCTATGTTGTTTAAATAGATTACTAGTTGAGGAAAGGAGAAAGCAATACACCCTCGATGGAATCCTGCCCCTGAGCGGGTCTCCTAGTAATCTGGAGTGTTGGACCCTCAGCTGAGGTTTTATCCTTGAGTTAATCTCCTGAAGGAGTCACTTTACCCGTTTGTTATGACAGTGTTCAACCCCATTTGTGTATCCCCACCCTTCATGATTTTTTTATAATTATGCTGTAAGGGGAAAAAGGGAACTAGAATATAAGGACTATGAGGACTACAGGACTAGGAGGATGAAACTATGATGACTGGGACTACAACCAAAACTATGACTATGACTGTGCTGTACTATACTGGGGAGGAGAGAGAAATAAACTGACTACCAACAAGCCTGGGGCCCTGTTTCTTCATTCCCCTGGACTATTGCCGTGGGCGGCCAAGGGAATGATTCTTGGCCACCGAACTCGAGTCCTGCACACCCCCACACTTTTCTTTGAAACCCACACCTGTTCTTGTCACAGCCCCCAGCTCTTGCACTGAGGTAGGTTTGAGTCAACTCTGCCACCCAAGCTCAGCCCTCAGCTCCAGCTGCGCTGTTATCAGGGCAGAGTCTCAAGCTGCATCCCTGAGTATTCCATTCTTTCCGGTGGGGTCTCAGCCTGGAGAAACAAGCTCCTGGATTTCTGCCAGCCACCCACATTCACGATTCCATGCACTAAAGGGGTTTGCTGGGGCCGGAAATGCTCATGCTCTTCTGCCTGCCCCCCCCGCACTCCACTCCCCCTTCATCCGCAGCAGCAGTACCTAAGGAAGAGTCAGTTCCTCTTTTCCTTAGAGGTGAGCCAGAGGTGGTTGAAGATGTATTTTATTTTCTTCAAATGATCTTTCCCAAGCAATAAATGCCAGAAGTGGTTGAAAATGTATTTTATTTTTCTTCAAATGATCTTTTCCAAGCAATAAATAGACATGTTTGACGTCTCTAAAAAATTAACAAAAAAATCAAAAAAAAAGTTCCCTAAACTATATACATCCTACAGAAGTACAAGCATATCAAATGTAGAAATGACATCACTCTGAGATGAGGCTATTTACACAGGGGCAAGTATTGCATGGCTGTCTGAGGGCCGCTTCACAGGACTCGGGGGCGCCAGGACAGAGCAGGGGCAGGGGAGAGCATCTTTCCTGGTGCGGCATCATCCATCCTTCTTGATGGACGGGAACATCAAGAACCCACACCCCACTCCCTACACCTCTCCCTTCCGAGCAGCAGTCTGGAGAGCCAGGTGGGCTGGCAGGGACATCCCACAGAGCCGTGGCAACCCCTCAGCTGAGGGTTCTGAGACAAACAGGTCCTGTGTCATAAAGGTCTAGCCTCCCACAGCAGTTCACCCCCTGAAAAGCAAGGCGGTCTCTCATCCAGAGCGGCACTGGATAATGTTTACGGGAGCTCTGAAACCTCCAGCGCCAGCCAGATATTCTGATGCAACACAGCTGGGTTATTAGTGGGGTACCAGAGGAGCCCCTCATTAATACTGTGGGCAGAGTTGCCAACTCCCCATCGAACTTTCAACTGACTAGTCCACTGGCCTCTGCCCACCTTCCCCAGCAGTTTTTTTTTCAAATGCTTCCCGAATCCCCGTACTTGCCAAACACTCTAGAATCTAGCAGGAATGAGTCCCTGAGTAGAAGGGTCTCAGGAAGGAGGGGCTGCAGCGCAGTATCCACCCAGAGCACCTCTGAGCAAAAGGCCATTGCTCTCAGGGACCCGCAGACCTCCAGGGTCCCACCAGGTCCCAAGAGGGAACTGGCAGCCTTCTTGGTTTCTGGGAGCAGATCCCACCAGTTTGTATAATCCAGAGTTGGTCACAGTGCAAGTTGGTCATACTTCCTGGCCACAGCAGTGACCCAGCAGGGTCACCTCATTCACACTCTTCCAGGTGTGAAAGAGGCTTCGAATGGGAGGATGAGCCCCCAGACCCTGCTCCAGCCAAGCCCCTGCTGTTTTATTTCTCAGAGTTTGCAAGCTTGTGTTGGTCTCAAGTACAACAACAAAATGGCTTTATAGTAGTTGTTGGACCTAGAGGAAGGAGACTTGAACTGAAGTGTGGGGGGCAGGCGAGGCCAGAAGCTGATGTGAGTTCCGACCGTCTGTTACTGTCCGTGGGGTGGGAATCTCTTCTGGGAATGCAGAGTACAGACCATTTTTTTGGCAAAAGTACACTGTGTAGAAAAGGTGAATCTGTTCTGGGTTACTTTCCACCCTCCCCCCCAAACCCTTCTTCTGGGGCACATATGCCATAGGGTCCCACAGCTTTCTTTGCTACAGAATCCACTTGACCACCTTCATCACAAAAGGTGAAGCAACTTCCAGAAATCAGGAGAAACGTGGGACCACCCAACTGCTGTCTCTTAAGAAGCCCATTGCCCAGAAACCCCACTCTGCCATGCCTTACCGAAAGTTCGGCAGTTCAGCAGATGGGAGTGGGGACAGGGAAGCCCAGGGCTCCCCCCCTCAAGAAACAGCAGGCAGGCACTGTGGCCTCGCCAGAGGCGAGCTCGGCCAAAGCAAGTTGGACGGGACCCAGTCAGCTCCAGCGCATGGGAAGAAGTGTGAGGATCTGGGTCATCTGTCCTCGGTACTGGGGAGCGGCAGTTGCCCAGGTTGGTTCTTCCATGAAGGGTGGACCTGGCTGTGCACTAGCAAAACTGTTCATTTCCACCTAGGTTCTCCAAGGGCTACAAGCAAGCGAACAACTTCTCATTTCTAGACAAGGCTCTGATTCCCTCTAATCCGCACTTTCTAACACAGCTACACAACACCACAAACAAGTAGCTTGTTCCTCTCCCCCCTCCCAACCCCCTACAACCCAACCCACAGGAAACCTCTTCCTCCTCCTCTCCCCAAAGCATCTCTCCTTTTAGAATATGGCTTTTCCCTCCAAGGATCCCCAAGGGGCACCAAGGGTGCTTGGCAGAGAAGGCCAGAATCCCAGAAAAGCCTATCCCAACCCCTCATCCCTTGGAGGTCACTGAGCCCCCAAATGTGATGTCCACTGCCCCTTCTTTATTTGAGAGGGCCTCTCCACATGGTCAGCAAGAGCCAGGAATAGGAGAAATGCAAGACTCACAGGCATCGTCCATTTCAAGTACATCCTCCCCCCTAGCTCACCCCCCCCCCCTTGAACTCAGGGGCCTGGAGAGAAAAGATGCTGCTTTGGCCATCTTCACCCAAGGTTGCTCTCCTGTCTCCTTCCCCAAGAGCCAAGCCAAGTAAGTCGCTATAGGAAAATCAGAAACTACAACCTGATTTTCCAAAAGCACCTTACATGCAACGGCCTGTATACCAGAGGACGCAGGAATCTCCGATTGATCTGGGAAGAAAAATGCTCCTGCACCATGCTAAAGGGCAGATCACGGAGAGCCAAGAGTGTGTGGCTTCATAATCTGCTTACAGACAAATCAGAAGTTTCCTGCCTTCCTCACCCTGCCCCCTGCTTCTCAGTGGCCAAAAGGGCAAGTGAATCATCCCGTCCCTACCGCTGCCCATTTCTTCGCTCCCCAGTGACCTCCACACTTGCATGCTATTAAGCTCTACCACCGGATATCAACAGAAGCAAACCCTAACCCTACAGCAAGCCACTGCAAGCCTCCTTGGGTTTAAATCCTCGGAGGGAATTCTGAACAAAATGCCTTTTATTTATTATCAAGCATAACTAACTTGGTGTGGGGGACAAAGGAAGGCCTCTGTCCCCCAAGGTGGCTACAGAACCAAAGGGAAACTCCTGGAACTCAGTGGAGAGCACCGAACCAGGAACCTGGGCATGCCTGTGGTCTTCCCTGGGTCCTTCTCCCTCCCTCCCCCGTGAATAAAATCCAGTCAGCACATTTTGCCAGGGTCCGTGGGATTCCTAACTTCAAGCCTGACTGCTTAAAAACATGAGGTAAGAAAGTCCTACGTAGAAAGTAAAAGTGCCCCCCGCACCCAACCAGGCGCTCCCCCCGCCGGGCTGCCAGCGTTATTGCTCTGGGTTGGAGTGTTCTGTAGTTTGCTTCGAGTAAGTGGTCCGCATCCTTATTGCCATGCTGGCTGGTGGGAGCGGAGAGGGCTCCCGGCCGGAGGGATAGATGGATGTGGGCAGGCGCCTGGTCATCACCCCCACCCTCGGCTCCTGCCTCGGCTCCTGCCCGCCGACAACCCCTCCCGGCCCTGGCTGCAACTCCAGGCTGGTGGGCGGGGCGGGGGTGTGGGAGGGAACGTGGCAGGTGGCTCTAGCAGCTGGGGGAGGTGGTGATGGGGCTGTGCAGGTAGGGCAGGCTGCTGGGCGCCGCGTGCACCCCCACAGAGACCGGGAAGCTGAAGACAAACTGCGATGTGGGCGTGGGAGTGGCCTTGCCACGCTCCCGCAGGGGCCCGGAGGGGCTGGCGGCCTCGGCAGCGCACGACGTGGCCAGCACCTGCGACTCGAACTGCAGCAGCTGCCCCATGAAGCTGAAGTTGGGCGAGATGATGCTGCGCCGCTGCTTGACGAACTCGAAGGCCTCCTCGAGCCGCACGCGCTGCTTCATCATCAGATAGGCCAGGCAGATGGTGGCCGAGCGCGAGATGCCCGCCTGGCAGTGCACCAGCACCCGCCCGCGGCACTCCTTCACAGCGTCTGCGGGCGACAGTGCAGCCCCGTGAGGCCTCCTGGGGCAGGGTGGGCGGCCCGAGGGGAGGGGACAGACCCTGAGGCACAGCCACTAGAGGCGCAGGGGGCTGGGAGCCATGCACCACTGCGGGGCGGGTGCAGAAATCCCACACATTCTGGATCTTCAAACCAAAGCACTAGGCTTGGAAGAACGCTCCAGCCAATCGCAGCCCCCTGGCAGAAATAAAATCCACAACCCCCCATTCCTCTGTCTTCCTCCCCAGTTCCTTTTGCGGGGATCTGGGGGGCAAACTTGGGGAAGATCAGGGGGCTATACCTGGCTCGGGCTCCCAGAACTATCCGCAGTCCCCAGGGATTCAAACAAGAGTGGCAGGTGCCAGACACAAGGCACGAGGCAAGTGTCCGACCACCTCCAGGGCTTTCTGTCCCCCTTCTCACCCTTTGCACCCACAAGCCCAAGTCGTTCTGCCTTGAAGCCAACAGTACAGGCTCCCGCCTCACCCAGTGAGCAAGACTTCCTCTGGGAACAGAGGTGAATGGGGAACACTTCGTCCCCAAGTCCCTCCCTGCGCCCCCAGCAAGCCCCAGGGTCAGCTTACCGATGTACTCGATGGCCTCCATGAACCAGGAGCTTATGTCAGCCTTGTGGTTGTCCTCCACAGGGATGCATTTGTACTGGTAGTGTCCTTCAAAGTGGTTGGGGCAGTCGGACGAGACGTTCAACAAGGCCGTGATGCCCAGGGCGTCCAGCATGTCCCTACGGGCCGCATGGTAGGCGCTGCCAAGGTAGAGGAAGGGGAGGATCTCCACAGGACCCCCCTGCAGTGAGAAGGGAAACAAAGGACCCCCGCCCCGACAGCATGAGCAGGGGCCGGAGACGGGACCCGAATTCCATCCCAGCACCCATCCGGGCCCTGAGCACCACCAGGAGAGATTTCAGAACACAGAGTCAGGAGGAGCACTGACGGCTATTGGGCCCCAAATCAAAAAAATTTATAAAAACTGGGTGTGACCCAAAAGAAGAGAGAAAGAGGGAATGTATCTGCCACAGAGGCAGTGGGTGGAAAGGGGTAGGGGTGGTGGGAGGGACACTGGGAACACTGATGGTAGAGAACAGGTACTGGTGGAGGGATGGGCACTCAAACGTTATTTGATTGAAACATAATCACAAAAATATAAGTCTTTAACTGTTTCTCACAGTGATTCATTAAAATAAAATACATATATATGTATATATATGTAAAGGGAAACTGGTGGATTCTTTTAAAACTGTAAATGCTTTGAATAATAGGATACCTTTTAAAATGCTCTATGTGGGGATGGAGAGACAATATAGTGGTAGAGCATTTGCAGTGCATGTCCTTGGTCCTGGTTCAATCCCGAGCCTGGGGTGCATAAAGTGAGGAGGAAGCCCAAAACCAGGAGTAGCCCCCAAACCAAACCAAACTATACCAAACCAAACCAAACCAAACCAAAGACTATCTATGTGTGGCCTCTTCTAAACACTTTTGAGAAGTATGATTTTAATTTAAAAAATTATGCATGCTCATTCAAAAAAAAAAAAAGAGGGGGGTGGACAGCAGCGATAGTCTGAATGGAGGCCTGGGGCCTCCCCTTCCCAGCAGGGCGTTCTCTCAGCTGCCTGTCTGCATGCAAGGAACCCCAGGGCCAATCACAACCGTCCACTGGAGTCTGGAAAGTGAATGATAACAGCAGGAAGGCGAAGGCATGCAACCCAGGGAGCCGTCCACTGGGGGCCCTGGGTTCCCTGTTTCCCTTGGCAACACTACATTCAGTCTGTGCCTTTCCCAAGCAGAACACGGGCCCGCCCACCTGGTCATGCAGAGGGGTCCCGCAGGGGCCACAGCCCAGGTCCAGAGGCTCCGCAGTGCTGGGGGGCGCCGCGGGGGCGATGGCTGCCAGGGCCTTGGTTTTGGAACAGAACTCTGGATATTCAGAGGAAAACCTCTCGTAGCCACCTGTAAAGGAGAGAAAATTCCAGTTACTGGGGTGGCTAGGCTGCAAGCAGCCCTTTAGAACTCAAATCGCGGCTCCTGGCTAAGGAGAGCGGTGGGGAAGCTGGCGGCGGCCACGGCCGCTGGGTGGCGCTGTGGGCCAGTGAGAAAGCTCCCGGGAGCTGGAAGGCTTTTGGAAAGCAAGCTGGAGGATTTCAATTTGTGATGCAGATACACAAAGAAGGATGCGCGGCGTGGGGGAGGAGAAGTGGGGCTGGGGTGGGGGGATGGGTGGGAGGTGTTGACGTTAAGGACTTCCTACAGCTCTGCACTGAGATGGCAACGTTCGTTAAGGAGTGGCCAGTGCGTTTCCAGGAGCGCGGAGATGCCAGCTTTCCCTCCACACCAGGCCTGTCTGTGGACAGGCGCGACACCACTGAAGCAAAGAAACACAATTGCTCAGGCCTGGGGCTCGGGATGGAGGCCGCGGAACAGATGCCAACCCCGCGGTCTCCGGAACAGCTGTGCTGTCCGCACGGGGCCAGAACGAGAGGAAATGGGCTTCAAACTCAATAAATCCCTTTGGGCTACAAACGGTTTTGGGGCACGGGAGGATTTCCTGACCTGAGCGTTTGTTAAGCCCTGGAATGGTTTTATCTGGGATCCTCTTCCGGGGAAAGGAACCTTTTAAGTAAAACAAGACAAAGGGGCCAACTTACTTGGAATCCGGTGAGTGCCAAGGTGAGGGAGTGCACAGGAGAGAGGAGGGGGGACAGCCTGTACCTCGGTTTTCTTAAGATCTCTGGCACTTGGCGTTGAGGCTATTCACTACCGTCCTGTCAGTTATCTGGCCCTGCTTGCATTTTTATTGAGCAGATAAAAAACTGGCTCCCAAATTCCTTCCTTCCTATGCCTCAGCATCACGAACTCACCCAGCCCCCCGTCACGCTTGAATTTTTATAAGCCTGAGGCACGGTGCCCATGCAATTCATATGCAGACATGTGACGATGATCAAGCACCCAGCCCCGAAGCCCAGTCCCAGAAATGCCTGCTTCAGAGATGAAGAACATCAGAACGCTTGTGGAGGACCTGGGCTGGGTTTTTTTTTTTTCTCTGACTCAAGCATAGGCAAGGACATGGCTCTGATCATGGGCCCTCGGTCCTGCGAAGGCACAATGACCAGCCCCCAGGAATGGAAACCCTGCAAGAGGGGTGCATGAACCAGTTTCTGCTTCACTGCTGGCCACCTCCTGGCTAGGGCACCCACCACCCTCCCATCATCACCCCCGCCTAATCTCCTGGGCCAACATGTCACCCTGCAAGCAGTGACTATGGAGGGTAGAGAAGGCATCTGCAAGTGTCCTTCGCTCCGGCTCCCCACTAGGGGATCCACAGTCAGTGCTCCCCGCTTTGGAGTAGTAGGGAAGGGAATGGATCACTCAATGTCAGTGGACTGCGGGACCCTCACATTGATGACTGCGGTTAGTCAAGCACATTTCCCCCAAGGAGATGGAAAGCCTGCAAGTGCCTGGCAAAGACTGAGCAGCTTGAAAAGCATGTCACCTTCGAGTGAAAGTGGGGACACTGGAGGGCTAAGTCCACACTGGGCATCCAAGTCACAGAGGAGCAACCTGGACCGGTGAACCGGCCTCGGTGTGTCTGAAAATGGGCTTCCTGCTACAAACTGATGGGTGCGCCAGACCCATCAATGCTCCAGAATAAGCTTGGCATTTGCAGCCAGACTCAGGTCTAGGCTGAATGCAAACTCAGTCACCGGTCACTGTGCAGCTCAGGGCTCCTCCTGAACCTCTCAGAGCCTCCTCTTCTTCCTTAAAGAAGAAGGAAGACCCATTGCCCGGACTACCTCAGGGCCTGACCTGAACCAAATAACTAAAGCTTCTTTGAGGGAAAGGTGGGGAGGAAACAAGGAACCTACAGGGCCTCCATCCCTGCTGGCAACTTCCCATTCGGAGCCCAAACTTCCTCCCCCTGCTCTCCCTTCCCTCTAGGCCGCCCACTCCTTTCCAGGGTCAGACTTCCAGAGGCTTCCTTGGAGCACAGTGGGGACTCCCAGTGGTTGGGGCAGAATGGGGCACTTAGTCCCCTCCCCCAGGGGCTTACTCACAATAGGATGGGGGTGGGGTGGGGCAGCAGAGCACAAAAGCCCCAACTGAGAAGTCAATTGTCTGTCTGACCATCCGCTGGTCTGAGGGCTCATTATTGAACAAAGCTGAAAGGAACTGGGTACAGAGGCAGCTCGAAACGCACCCATAACCAGGCCTACTCTGCTTAGTGCCTGAAGATGGAGTGGGAGAACCGCCCTCCCCCAGGTCACACCCCAGTCATCGGGAGCATGGGAGGGAGGAGGGAGGGCACCCAGAGAGTCCCCAAGGAGAGCAAACACACCTCCAGAGCAGAGTCCTGGAGGAAGTGAGGACTCAGACCAACTAGACACAAGAGGAAACTGGGGTGCAGGGCTGATCCCATGGAAGGACAGGGACAGCACTGAGCCCAGGGTCCTCAAATCCAGACCACAGGAGTGGCCACTCCCTCCCGGGCCAGGTAAACCTGGGTTCTCAAGGGGCTTGTCTGGAGTCTGGAGACCATCAGGGTACCAGAGCACCAGTCCACTCAGAAAACTCTCCGGGGCTCCTGTCTGAAGCTGCAGCTACTTTGGTGCTCAATGTGGGTTATTAAGAGCCAACTAGCCTTGAGGGTGGAAGGTCATGGGTCACGCCTGGCAGTGCTCAGGGCGGATGCCTTTATCTCTGTGTCAGAGATCACTGCTGGGGGTCAGTATGAGCTACAGGGATCAAACAAGGGCCAGTCATGTGCAAGGCCCTTTAATCCCCATGTTATCTATCTAGTCCATTTCGTTTGTTTAATGATATACAAGTGCAGAAAAACTACCGTAATGGGGTTTGAGGGGCGGAGCAATAGTACAGCAGGTAGGGCATTTGCTTTGCACGCGGCTGATCAGGGTTCGATTCCCAGCATCCCATATGGTTCCCCTGAGCACCACCAGGAATAATTCCTGAGTGCAGAGACAGGAGTTACCACTGTGCATTGGCAGGTGTGACCCAAAAAGAAAAAAAAGGGGGGGATTGATTTCATGGTGTATCTGTTCCCCTATATTGGGTCATGAAAATGACAATGTACTACTGGGGGGGTCCGGGAGGACAGCAGAGAAAAGACTGCTGTCCTAGATATTTTTCCCATGCCTCACCCTACCTCACCCCACAGTGGTGCAGGAAACCACAGCCCGGAGCTCTCCCTTAACCTCTCTGGGTCCTCTCAGAAAAGCGAGATTTTTTTTTTAATAGAAAACCCGAATCAGGTATTCATTCCCTGTGCTTGGCTGCAGCGGCTGGTTCTCTCCAGAGCTGGCTGCAGGTGAGGTGCAGGAGAAGCAGGGGCCAGCTGTGGGAACTGGAGCAGGGGGTATCGCTCTAATCTGGGAGGGGCCGGGATTTCAGGCATTTCCTCTCTAAACTCAACATCCAGGAACCCAATGCCTGAGATCCACTTAGCTGCACAATTTACAAACTTTGGGCCTCTTTCCTAACAGACAGGCCAACGAACGTTAGCCTGTTTCTCTCCTTCCAGGTCCGTATAATTCCGGAAAAGACATGGTGACAATTCTGACCTGTTTTTTGCCATGTCCTTTTACTGAGGGATGTAATTTATATCCTTAAAACTCCCTTTACCTTATCGCAATTTTTTGAAGTGCTCTTCTTACTTTTCTACATGTCCTTCTTAGTCATTCTTATTAACTTAGGTGTCCGTGGGGTTCACCATGGCACGCTCAGATGTTGCCCCTAGCTTGGTGCTCAGGGATCACAGTTTGGTGGTGATGCAGGGGATCCAAGCCAAGTCTCCCGCGCACAAGAAGCATACCCTCCAGCCCAGAATCTCCAGCCCCTCATCTGAATTTTTTTTGTTTTATTCCCCTTTCTCTTTGCTGCAGATGTCTGGGGGGAGGGCGGGTCATACACATTTTGAATGCAGTTTCTCGTAGAGATCAAACACGTGATTGTGAGTCTGACTTATTGAGACACTTGGGGAATTATAACTGCAGTGCCGGGAACTACATGGGGTGGAGCCTGGCCTTACCCACGAGGCCTCCTGCACGAAAAGCAGGAAAGTTACCACCCTGGCCCCTTACCTTCATTTCTCAACTGGCACTAGAGGACAGAAAGGAACAGAGAGTCATTTTCAGGGGCCGGAAAGAGTACAGGGATCAGGCATTTGCCTTGTCAGGGTCGACTGCAGTTTGATCCCTCGGAACACATATGTTCCCCGTGCACTGCCAGGCGTGATCCCTGAGTAGACAGAGGAGTAAACCCTGAGCTCTGAGACCACCTGAGGGTGTGGTCCAAAAACCTACACTCCGATTTACGCATCTGTCTCCGCACTTGCACCCTCAGGAGTGTGGGAGGCTTGAGATCTCGGTCTCTTAAAACAGTTCTCAACACAAGGTAGGGCTGCCCAGGCAGAAAGCCTGGGGAGGAGGATCACTTGAAGGTCATTTGAAGGTCACTTGGCTCTATATATTTTCATTATTCTGGGTGCCGATTTGGCCAGCACCCCTGTAAATGCAGAGGAATATTTAATATAGACCTAAGTGGGCTTGTGTTGGGGACTCCAGGCTCAGACCTGTGGGTCATGGGTCAGCAGGCCACCACCCCAGGCCAGGCTGGGGCAGGATCTGTCTGCAGGCCCCTCCCCCACCACCATCATTCTTCTGGCCCCAGGGCTGGCTTCTGTGGGAAGACGAAATTCTCTTCAGCTCAAGCTTCCTCTGTTAGGAGACACTGCCTTTGAGAAAGGAAACTGGCTCTCCAGTTTCAGAGGGTCTGATTTATTCAAAGGAATAGCTTGGTTCTTTCAAAGCCCACCTTCCCTCCTCCCCATTCCCTCCCTCCAAGGACCCAGGACAAGCTCACAGGAGCTGGGATGGGCGCCACATAACCAGGCTGTCACTCTCAATAGACACCTTTAGCTTTGTCCTGAGCTCCTTACGCTCATTGGGAAACATCCCAATTTAACTGGTGCAAAGAATAGTGACCTTTGGTTTCATCCACTATCATTCTTTAGCAAATTCTATCAGGGATTAGACATGATCTTGAAGGTCTACCATGTTTTATAATTGAATCCTGGGTTGTGTGGGCATGTATATTACACATCTGTCTTTTCGAGGGGAAAACAAGGTTCCCTTGGCATGGGAGAGGCAGGTAACCTCAGAGCTATTCTGCCTGGTACAACTGGCCCTGAGGGAACTAGGAGAGACCAATGGGGACAGAAACAAATAGTTTAGGGTAGCCTAGACTGCTAGCTAAGCACCCCTTCTTTCCCCCACAATTCATTATTGCCTAGGGACTCTCTTTTACATTTTTGGTTTTAGGAGCACACCTTTTTGGTGGTGCTCAGGATTTCCTCTTGCTTCTATGCCCCAGGGTCGCTCCAGGCAGTGCTTGGGCCCCAGATGCCCAACCCCGTTACTGCCTCCAGCCCCACCGGGCATCTGTCTCCTACAGAAAGTGTAATGTAATGGTCAAATATGTGGTGAGGTCCAGATACAGAGGCACTCAAATTTCTCCTGGAGGAAGATTCCAGCCAGAATATTGAGCCTCCCAATTTCTGCAGACGGCTCCAAGAAAACTTTTATATTAGAACTTGAATAGGAACTAGGGAAGGCACTTGAGCTGAGGTCAAATTTGGACAGAAAAGGAAGACAGAATGTTTTTCTGCCTGAACTCATCTGCATAACAGAGGAATATCTTACACAGGGAAAGGGGCAGAGATAATACAACATCCTAGGGCTCCTGCTTTGCAGGTGACCAGCCGAGATTCACTCTCTAGCACCCCATATGCAACCCAAGTCCCACCAGGAGTGATGTAAGTGCAGAGCCAGGAATAGCCCTGAGCATCACTGGGGGGGAGGGGGAGCTCCCCCGCAGAGACCAAAAAAAAAAAAAGAAAAAAGACTAGAGGGAGAAGGCAAAGAAAGCCTTCTATTAAAGTTTTTAAAATGCTCTTTATCTTTTGTTATGAACAGGAAAGTCTTAAGTCCTCTGCAAGGATTTATGATGCAGAAAGATATTTCAAAGGAGATGTTGACTATAATAAAATCGAAAAAGCTGAAATTTCGAAATTCCTTGAAAATAACTTATAGGATTTAAATTAAGCTTTAAAAAGGAAGTCGGGGGGTAGATTCCAATGGTAACATTTCACTAGCAAAAAGATCCAACAAATGTAGTTAGTAATTTTGGTTTCACATTTAGGAAAGTTCACTTAAGTGAGGATGAGACACGCACTCGTGGGCAAGGCACTTCCATTGATCCCCAGCATCCCACATGGCCCCAGTTAGCACCAGGAGCCATGCCTGCATATGGAGCCAGGAGCAACCCCGAGTATGGCCCAAAAACAAACCAAAAAAAAAAAATCAATAGCTAGCTGAAGGCCAGTTGGCTTTTTCTTTCTTTAACTTTTCTCTCTGCTATGAATAAGAGATTCTGTTACCCCCACCCCCCAAAATGGCATAAAATGTGAAAAACGAATTTTCAAATGTGACTGGGAGAAGCAGTTAGCTGTCTTGGCCAGGAAGAATAAACTTCAGAAAGTGCCCTGCTGTCTGTCTTACTGTGCCTGCAAAGAGAGCACACACTGAGAACGGGTCTCCCAGGGGCGAGCGTTGAGGGCTGTGCTCTATAGCCACCATCCGAGGAGAAAAGAACATACAAGACCCATTGGCAGCAGTGAAATGGAAGAACAGGTCCACTGCCACACAGCCGCCCCATCGCACAGGACTCAAGATCAGCTAAGGGGGCAGTTCTTTCCTGGCTGCCTCTAGTTCTCTTGGGGTCCCTTTTCCCCAGAGTGCTCACCCTCGAATCCATGCTCACTCTCCTCTGGGGGGTCAAGGCACTGCATCTTCCCACTATGGTGTAGGGAAACACCCTGCTCTAAAAACCGCCCGTGCTTAGAGAGAAAATAAGCTGGGCTTTCCTGAGTATGACCCAATTAGCTTCAGAAACATTTGCTCAGCTCTGGAGCCCCTCAGAAAAAGCCCTCCACAACGTGCTCTGCCCATTTCGGGCAAGCTGCTCCCGGGCTTGCTTGTGAAGCCTCCCCAAGGTACTCCCTGGGCCCGGTTCCTAAGAAATGATCCCCAGAAATGACCCACCGCCAGCGCTGGCTTCTGCTCTCCAGCTGCTCTAGCTCCCTGGGTGCCCACTTGCAGGTGCCAAGGGTCCAGCTCCTGCCCATTTCGCCCATCCCCACCGGGCACCATGGCAGATCAGAGACTGCAAAACTGAATCTCCGGAGCAAACAGTCCTAAAAACACTATTTTTCCCATGGACCAGACTGGGGTGGGGGGCGGGGGGGGGGGGGGCGGCAGCAGGAATGTCGTCTGGCCCAGAAGCCCCATCCCCCATGCATCCCTCCAGTCTGGCTCTAGGAATTGATCAGCCTCCGGTTGTCCCAGCGGATTTCGGGGCGGGGTGGGGAGGGGAGGGGGCAGCAGGGAGGCGCCGAAAGCCCTGAGCAGGAAACTGTAAAACTCTGCCTGCCCTCTGGGAGACCAGGGGCGAAGCGTCTGCGCGCCCGGAAGCCCCAGGTCCCCAGCTGCCGCTCGAGGGCGGGCCCCTCCGGATTTCTTCCAGGAAGAAAAACACAAACACAACAAAACGAAGCCAGACTCCACGTGGGTCTGCTCGCCTTCCAGCAAGGCTCCCTCGAGCCGGGGACTCCCGAAGAAGGCTTAGCGCTTGGGCTCTACTCCGAAGGCGCAGCTCGGGTCACCAGAGGGGACTTTATTCCAAAAAAAGGTCTCTCTCGCTTGCCAGCAAAGATTGGGGGCTCGACAGCAACCAATACTCCCCCGCCCTCCGCAGCCCGTCTAAGCGGACCCTGCCCCCGGGGAATGCGCTGGCTGTGCGCCCACCGCGACTCCCCAGCAGGGTTCGGGCGCGCTGGGCAGGTGAAGCTGGGGGGCTCCCACCGCACCCGAGCGTACCCCACCCGGCGTCTGCTTCTTCTGGGCCCAAGTCCCTTCCAGGCGTTTTCTCCTCGGGGAGTTTTGGAGGGGGAGAGCGCTGGAGTGGAGGTGCTTTAAAAGGCAGCTCCCCCGAGAGAATGAAAAATCAGCAATATCGCTAGTTCAGCCCAAGGTCGAGCAGCAGCATTTCCCCAGCAGCTGACAGGTCAAATGGCCAGGAAACAACTGCGGAGAACAAAGCCCCCCGCTGTTCAGCAGCCGCAAACCCGGCCGCTCCGCAGCGGGGCAAGTTGGCTGGGCGGTGGGGAGACGTGTCAGACCTCTTCCCACTTTCCGATCCCCGCCCCTCCCCATCCCATATAGCCCTTTGGGGGAGACCAGGTCCAGAACGTAGAGGGAAGGAGGAAGGGCGTAAGAGGGGTGGGGGTCTCCCGCGCTAGGAGCGGCTCTTTGAAGCCAGGTCTGAAATGACTCCGGGTGGCAGGCGAGGGGCCGACCTCCGTGAAAGAATGCGTGGAATGCGGCGGCGGGAAGAAGGGGTGCGGCGCCGCAGGGGGCGTCCCCACCGCACGCGCCCTGAGCACTCGCCCACAGCCCAGGGCTGCCAGGGCCCAGGCGCGACACAGGCGGGCAGGTGCAGCATACGCGCTTTGGACTAGCACCCGGTCCACCTCTCCGGGGTGCTGGTCCTCTAGATTGGACAGGATCTCCCCGTCCTCGAAGAAGAGGTTCGCCGGGGCTCCGGCTCCGTTAAACCGAGCAAGCGCCACCACGAGATCTTAGGGAACCCTGTTCCAACAAAAGGGTCGGACTTTTCCGTTTATGAACTGACAAGGCACGCATCGCGCCTGGCGTTCCCCATATCCCTCCTCCCGCTCGCCGGGCCGGGGTCGAGCCCGAAGCAAGACGAGTGGACCATCTTCCAGGAAGGGCTCCGAGTTGGGACGGCGGGAGCCAATATACGGATCACTGCATTTACCCGGCGGGAACGATCCCAGCTCGGTGCCCGGTTTCCCTCCCCCTAAACCCTTGCGGGGATGTGCCGAGTGGGACACGCCGTAGGGCAGAGCACGCCAAGCCAACAGGCCCACCCAGTCCCCACTCGCGTTCTGTAATGTTTGGGAGCACTTCTCCAGACTCGGGGGTGGGCCATGCAGAAGAGTCTCTCGGTCTCCAAGGCCAGACCGTTGGAGAATGTAAACAAATGCAGAAGAGCCAGGGAGGGTGTAGAATCGCAGGTGACCGGAGCAACGCACCCTTCTTCACCGTCTCGGAAGGCTCCAGGCGGGACTGGCACTTGGACGCAAATGCGCAAAGCCCGTGCCAACCCATGCACACCAACACTTTGCACAAAGGGAGCGCGGGCTGGGGGGTGGGGGGGAAATGGGTCGCTGCACCCACGAATATCGCGGACTTCATCCCCTACCCTCTAAGGCGCAGGACGCCAAGTGCGGCTCCATCCACCAACCCTTCTCCCGCTTGCTCCCGGGCGCCCGCGTTTACCTTTGAGCAGACAGATGTCTGTGCGCTCGGCGTTTCGGCGCAGCGCCTGCACCACCAGCGACACGGTGCTGTCCTCGCGGAGGCTCTCGGCGCGCGGGCTGCGCTCGTCGTAGACGATAACGGCCGAGTAGAGGCCAGAGCGCAGGCGGGCGCGCACCTCCTCCTCGGCCGGCAGGATCTGCTCCAGGCTCACCGAGCCCTTGGCCCGCCGCCGCACGATGGTGTTGCAGCGCACGTTGACCGAGCCTCGGATGTAGCCCGCGCTGTGCGCCAGGAACGGTCTGCAGTCCAGCAGCAGGCACTTGCCGCCGCTTAGCAGCCCCAGAGCGCCGTGGCTACCGCTGCCGCCCGCGCCGCCGCCGTTCTCCTCCCGGTTCATCAGCCTTTTGAGCACGCTGCAGTCCATCTCCCGCAGTTCCTCCACCGTCACCATGATCGCCGGGGACCGCGGCTGCCGGGCAGGCGACGAGACGAAGGATGACCCGGGCCAGCTACCGAAAAGGGGCTGGTGCGGGCGCGCGAGCTGTAGTAGCCACAAACTTGGCCCCCGGGAGCTCCCCGGGGCCCAGCTCCGCTCCCGAGTTCCCTGCCTCCCGCAGGCGCGCGGTTACATAGCAGCCGGGGCGGCCTGGAGCCGCGCTGCGCGGAGCCGAGCTAGCGGCGGCGGGGAGCGTGTGGACGGGCGAGGCGTCCCTCCGGGGGTGGCCGCTATTGGATCTCGCCCGTGGAGCGGCTCCAGCCGTCGCCGCCGCCGGCGCTGCCGCTGCGGCCGCCTTTCCACCCCCAACCCACAGCCGGAGCTCCGCTCGCTGGCCCAGCCAGTTTCCTGCTCCGTTTCTAGGTTTATTAATGCTGCTGCGCGGTACCCCGGGAGGGGGCAGAGGCATTACTACCCCGAGGCCCCGCCCCCACGCCCCGCCCCGCCGGCCCCTCCGCGCGCGCCGCTGCGGGCGCCTGAATGGAGTGTCGGCCGCTCGCGCCCGGTCACGGGACCGCGACGTCACAAAGAGCGGAGTAAACAGGGCGCGCGGCGCGCGGCGCCAGGCCCATTCATAAAACCGGGACCTGGAGAGGAAGAGGGAGGCGGCCTCCGACCGCCGGGCGGGCCGCCGCGGCCGCACTTTTGTGAATGGAGCGCGCAGCCGCCGGGGCTCCCCGCGCTCGGCCTTCCGGACACGCGGGCCAGAGTCCCCCCGCGGCGCGGCGGCGGCGGCGGCGTCCCCGGGACAAACAACCAAAAACGGTAGCCCAGAAGTGTCCCCGACCCAGACCAGGGCTCGTCTCGTCGTTTGACCTCGGTGCTTTCCTCCGGGACAGTGGCCCACGTCTTCGCAGTGACCGACGCGGAGATGGGGACTGGGGCCCGCGGCCCGCCCGCAGCGCCGGGACCGCGCCTCCCCCCGGGGCTTACCCAGTGCCCACGGCCCGGACTGGTACCGTTTGGGTGCTTTTCGTTGGTTTTCAAAGGCGACTCCGCGTCCGTTAATTTTCTGCATTAACGTGATCGATTTTTCACCTTATACCATTGAAGCGGCTTTATAGCTTCCCGAGGAACTCGGCCAACCCGGATTTAGCAGATGAAAGAGAGAGCCCTCCCCCCACCCCCAGCCGAGTGAGAGAAGTAGGTGTAGGGGGTGTTAAGCTTCTACCACCCAGTGAGAGCATGTTGTTCCCGCGGAGGAAGACGGGTGCCACCCAGACCACGCTTCCTAAAGATGTTTGTTTAACCCGGGTGTTGGGGGCGGGGGAGACTTTGCCAGCTTGAGAGAGGGAAGTCCTCACCCCACCTCGCACACGTGTGAATTGTCTTCTCAGGAAATGACTCTTGAGGGTCCACGTTTGGTGCAAAGTGCAGGCCGGAGAAACTGACACGTAGGGCAGGATTTCATAAGCTCCCGGGCCGATTCGGGTTTCTTGGCATCCTCCTTTCCGGGTCAAGAAGCTTTTCCCTGCGCGCACCGCATCCCCCTCCCTCTTATGTTTTACTTATGCATTTGACTTCCCAGAGGCCGCTTCTGGTGGAGGGAAGAGGGGCGACAGAAACCAAAAATCATTCTCCCGACGTTGTGCCAAATCTTGTTAGCAAGAATGAACTACTGACTTCGGGGGAGCTTCCAGATCTCGTTCGCGATCTTGGAGGCTGTGGGGTCTACACTTCCAGGTCGCGCTTGAAAGCCCAATAGGACAAATGACGGTGGGCAAAGCCACCGGATTCCGCCCTCTGTTCTGCCCCTGCTACCCGCGGAGCCCCTCTCAGGAGCCAGCACCCCCTCACAGGGTTACCCCCGCCGGTCTTCCCCTGGAGCCTCCACTTTCGAAGCTGTCCAGCTGTGCTCCCCTCCCACTGCTCCCGGAAGCCGCCTGGACACCCCGATCCCCCCATCGGGTGGGCTCTGATGGACGCCACGCACCCGAAGGGATCTTCCCTTTAGCCAGAGCTCCCAAATGGCTCAGAGCTGCATTGCCGGATCCTGTCTATGTTAAACTGAGTATTTTGTTCACCGTCAACACTTTTTGGTTTGTGCAAAAAAAAAAAATTTATTTGCAAAAGCATCGCATTCAATACATTAGTTTAGCCACTGAGTGTTTGGGTTTCCCCCTTTGACATTCAGCGTCCGAGGTGCGTGCTCAACCCCAGTCCATGCCCGAGTAAGAGGCAGGAAGTGTCTTACCTCCAGCAGGAGGTCAGTGGACACACTGGGAGCGGGGGTTCCTTTCCAGGAAGTGTCCCCTGCCTGCCCCCTCCAGCCCCCATCTCCCTGGGCTCCATTCGCTGCAGCCGCGGGCTCCTTCCGACCCCGGAGTATGGCTCCGTGCGGTTGACTCCGGACCCCTGTCCGCCCAGCGGAACGTCAAAGCCTTTGCAAGACCTTTGACTGTACATTTCTTGGCGGCGCTTCTTAGTTGCAGGCCAATTTCACGCGTTTCGCAGGAGCTGGAGAGACGTCGGTCCCTGGATTTTACAGGACGCAGTCCGGTGACTTTTGTCTCCTCTGCGTTGCGGGTGCCTCCCAGGCAACCAAATCTGCGCCCCGGCTCACGTGGCCGGGAGATAACACTCTCCAACCAGGGGAGGAAATGCCCACCGAACAAAGAATTACTTTCTGCCCCGACAATAATCCGTGATTACCCAGATATCCCACAGAGCAGCTCACGGACAGGGGGACGAGGGGGAGGTGGGTAGTGAGGTGTCTCACCCACAGCCTCTTAACCCTTGGTCCAAGCCCGCCTCAGTTTACAAATTCCGAGCCCCGACAGAGACTAATAAAAATTTTTTTTGCCATTTTTTTTTCTTTTTGGTTCTCGGGGGACCATATGGGATGTTGGGAATTGAACCCGGGTCGGCCCGTGCAGGGCAAACACCCTATCCGCTGTACTATCACTCCAGTCCCTTTTTTGCAATTTTTGTAAAGAAATAAAATCCTCCCCTTCTACTCAGGAATTACCCTTTGGGTGTTTGAATTTTAAACAATGAGATTTTAATTTTGTATCATTCCTGCTCCTAGGTAAGCAACTGATTTTGGGGTTTTTTTTTTTGGTGGGGGGGAAATTGGGTGTGTCCAGTTGGTATAAGTGTGGTTAATACAACGTATGATGTGCCTTCCAGATATGCTATAGAGATCACGCAACTGGCTCCAAATTAATGGGCTGACTAGGGTTCCACAAGGTGCCCAGATAAACAAGCCTTTTTATTCAGTCACCTTGTGGAACTGTTGGTAAAAAAAAAAAAAAATCGTCTGGAAGTAAACAAAGACTGGAAGGGGAAGGCATGGTTTGAATGTCATTTCAAAGTTAATTTAATTAAGGAAGGCATATCTGCAATCCTATTGCCAAGGAGAGATATTTTGTTTATATTCAGGAATTAACTGTGGGATAAAAATGCGCTGTGCCATGTAAACCCAGCTTCTCTTTCTGAGAAATCCTGAGCCTGACCTTTTCTTCGGTGTCAGGCCTGGCCAAACCCCTGCTCCTGTTTAAGAACATTTCTTTCTAATTAGGAAGTTGTGATTGGGAAGTTCAAGCCCAGTGGAGGCTGGGCTCCCCGGAGAGAACGAAGACTTCTATTCTGGTTCTCTTGCCAGCCTCTGACTCACTACTTATCCCAAAGCTCCTGAATCAAACTTGCCTGAAAAAGAAATCATTAATGAATTCATCAGAGTGGCGGTGATGGTGAGAAAGGGCCCAGGGTTCCCTCTTCCCTGAGCAAGGAAGGACACTGCACATTCCTCTCATCTGGGGTAGGCACCATCCAAATGATGGACCTAGTGGGGAGACTCACATGCTGCTGCTGAATCCCCCTTACACTTACAAAGTGGGGATACCCCAAAAACTGGGATGCTGTTTCATGCTCCTCAAAGTAGAGAAGCCAGCATCCTCAGTGTGTTCTTGGGGAGTTCTCCTACAGGGGCTTGAGGTGTATCTGTTCTTCATTGCCCTTCTGTACACATCCGGTCAGGACTCCAACACAATGGAAACCCATATTTAGACTGTACAGAGCTCAATCAAAAAACATGGAGGGAAGGTTTCTCATCCTGACTTTGTACAGATCTCTTCTGTATCCTCTGCGTGCAGGACTTGCTAATGATTTTCGTTTCTGCAGAAGGGTTTGAATATAGTACGTAAAATACACTTATTTGAAAAACGCCCATTCTAGGCTATGCCACCACCTAACGGTAGTGGCCTGGGTGAGCTGATCTCTCAGCTCTTTTTCTTCATTTGCTCAGGGAGAGTGTGGAGAAGCTATTTTCCGTCTAGAACTTTCCCAGTAAAGCCCAAACTGAGACTGCCACTTCTGCTCCCACCCCATGGCCAGAACCCCAAAAAGCACAACTGTTTCAATTTTGCTCTTAGAAAATTAAGCTCAAGAGTTTCTCCTTTGTTTAGCTAAATGCTAAGTACCCAAGCCCATTGATAAAACTTGAGGTTTTCAAAATCAGATTTTAGAAACAAATATTTGTCCAAATAAATGATGACAACCCCCCACCATAAACACACACACACACACACACACACACACACACACACACACACACAGAGTTTCACACTTTTCATTCTAGCTGTGCATGTTATATTTTTCATTTCTTCAGCAAATATGTTAAGCTGGGTGGGAGAAAGCAATTTATCTGAACTAACTATGCCTTCAAGGAGTTTATAATCTAGTGCTTTGAATTTATGATTGTCACTGTGTTACTGGAGCAGGGCCTAATAAATGTCACAGGGAAGAACAAACAACAAGTCACGGGGATTTATCCCAGGAAGGGATTGAACTGCTGAGTGGGATTAGGGAAATGGAAGAAAAAGGCCATCATGAATAAATGCATTTCATCTACTTAAATGTTCCCATTGCTGTCTCTTAAAGTACCACCCTCTCCCCGCCAAAAAAACAGAACTTTTATCCTACCTCTGACTTTCATTATGTCTTTGTGCCTTCTATCTTCTCCTTTCATTTGTTAACTATTCTCTTCCCTTATGGGTTTGCTTGCTAAAAATAGATGAGGAATTGGTCTGAAGCTAGGAGGGTGCCAAGTTGCTGCAAAGCACTGTAGAAAATTTGTGCCACAAACACTGACAGGGCAGACCTAGATGGAAGATGGTCTAAGCGGGGACCAGAGTAGAACTCTAGCTTTCATTGCCATTCTCAGCAAATCCATCGTTCTCTACTTTCCTGTCTCAGTTGTCCTAAGGATCCAGCGGCAAGCATTATTTTCTAAATCAAATATCGGAGTATACAGTCAGAAGAATTCGGAGGACTTGTAAAATTATTTACACAAAGAATGAAATATTTATATGAAATGTTTTCACCAAGAAGTAAACATCCCAGCTCATTATTTATATCACTC